CCGGCCCGGGGGCGGGCCCAGGGGGGGAAGGGGGTGGCCAAGACGATCTCAGCCACCCTGTGGGACCCCACGCAAGAGGTCACAGCACGTCGGAGGGAGATCCGGGGGCTGCGGATGGAGCTGCTGGCTGCGGCGGGCTTCCCCGAGCAGAAGGTGGCCATGGCCCGGCTGCGGAGAGCCTTGCAGGAGCTGCAGGTGGGGAAACATCCCTGGCGACCAGATGGGACCAGGATGGCACCAATTCCCCTGATCAGATGAGGTCTGGGCTCCATCCCTGTGTCAAGACCCTTGTGCAGCGCTGAGGGCAGGGGCTGGGGGCTGTCTGCTTGGGGCCTGAGACAGTGGCAGGGTGGGATGTGTCTCTGGAGCTATGCCATGCCTGGAGGTCTTTAGCACCCCCAGCAAGGACTCCCAGCCCCTTTTTGCAGGTGCTGAAGAGTCAAAGGTGGGAGAAGAAGCAGGCAGCAGCCGAGGAGCTTGGGACAAGCCAGATGCATCAGCCCAGTGCCAAGGTGGGCACAGGTCAGGCCACAGTGCCCTCACCCAGGGACAACCCAGTGGCAGGAGAAGCCCTGAATCCTACTCCCTGTGATGTCCCCATATCATCTCCTCCTGTTCCCATAGGACCAGGTCTCCGCAGGGAATGCAGTGCTGGGCCAGCAGCCCAGAACCCAAATGCCCCCAACCGATGCCAGTTTGGAGCCAGCAGGTCTGGAGCGTGGGGACAGGCATGCGTCCCACACCTGGGTGGCCGATATGTGGGCACGGAGTATCGCTTTACATGGTGGGGAATGGCTTTGATGGGGCTGGAAGAGACCTCGGTGCATCGTTTAAACTGCTTTCTTCAGCCCCACCATATCACCCTTATTCTCCTTCCCTCTCCCCACGCAGGAGCGGGTGCCAGTGAGAGCAGCCAGGGAGGGGACAGCCAAACCCCGGTGAGCACAGTGCAGGGCTCGCTGGAGGAGCCCTCACCGAGGGAAGCGCCACAGCCGTGGCCACTGACCACGGATGACACGGTGAGTGGGAGCCCACCGGGTCCCTGGGCGCTGCTCCTGGCTATGGGCAGCGCCGAGGGCCTGCAGTTCCCCTGCACTGGCAGCACTGGCAGTCCGAGCCGGCTCTGCTCTCTGCCAGGCGGGGAGCTGGTGCCAGCCGTGCCCATCCCTGGAGGCCCAGTACGCCCTGGCCAAGGCGCAGAGGCAGCGGCTGCGGGCTCAGCACTGCCTGCTCCTCCAGCGAGAGCTCGGGGATGGGGCAGCGCCAGGCCAGGAGGTGACCAGGGAGGTGGGTATGGGAAGAGTCCATCCCTGTGGGCTCTGGGCTCTCCTCCTTCCCTGGCTTTGCTCTCCCAGGGCAGGGCAGCCCCAGAGCTGCCCCGTCCTTGTCCCTGTCCCCTGCAGTGGGACACAGCTTGCTGGCAGCAGGAGGTGGCCGTGCTGGGGCTGAGCCTGGAGGCAGCACAGAGGGAGCGGGAGGCGGCCGAGTGGGACCTCGAGGCCCTGCTGCAGAGCCACCGGCCGGGGAGGCAGGGCAGCCGTGAACCA